TGTGTGTGTGTGTGTGTGTGTGTGTGTGTGTGTGTGTGTGTGTGTACATACCTGTGTCTACTGGTGTATGTGGGTTTTTTTGTGTGTGTGTTAGTCTGTCTTTGTGGGATTGTTGCAGTGTCTTTAATCTAATAGTAATTTTATTTTCTTACAGTCATCATGATTCCTGTGATGGAATTCAGGCAGTTCTCTGAACAGCAGCCAGCATTCAGAGTCCTCAAGCCATGGTGGGATGTGTTTACCGACTATCTGTCCGTAATTATGCTCATGATTGGTGTCTTTGGATGTACTCTACAGGTCAGTAACATTTTTTTTTATGTTGTCTGTTTTGAAATATTCAAAGGAAGACTTTCAAGAGGAATATAACTAGAAATAAGTACATCTATTTTTTCTCTTTACTGGCCTATGCTTAAAACACCAATTATGTGTTTTTACAGCCTGGCTTTGGTGCCGCCAAGGAATCAAGTTTATCTGTGAAAACATTTCCCGACCCTTCCCCTTCCAAACTGCTGTGGTTTGGCTCTTGGCTTCGCCTTGTGTGAGAAAATGGGGAATGTTTTTTGGAAATCTCTCAGATAACACCAAAACTTGTTAAACATGCTAGCCTGTTAACAGGAGTGATAATTCTGTATCCAACTTCACTTTATAGGGCAGAGCTATATACAGTTGTGGTCAAAAGTGTACATACACTTGTAAAAAATCATAATGTTATGGCTGTCTTGAGTCTTCAATAAGTTCTACAACTCTTATTTTTCTGTGATAGAGTGATCGGAACACATACATGTTTGTCACAAAAAACAGTCATAAAGTTTGGTTCTTTCATAAATTTATTATGGGTCTGCTGAAAATGTCACCAAATCTGCTGGGTCAAAAATATACATACAGCAACAAAATATGTCAATTTTGGTGATGTAGCGAGTTGTGTCAATCAAATTAGCTTCATGTCATGGCCTCTTCACTTCTTCTAAGTGATTCTGATTGACTACAGCTGTTGACTTCTCATGAGCCCATTTAAATAGGGCTCATTTGACCAAGTGATTAGACTCAGCTACAAAAGCTACAATGGGAAACTCAAAGGAACTCAGTGTGGATCTGAAAAAGCGAATTATTGACTTGAACAAGTCAGGGAAGTCACTTGGAGCCATTTCAAAGCAGCTACAGGTCCCAAGAGCAACTGTGCAGACAATTATACGCAAGTATAAAGTGCATGGAACAGTTGTGTCACTGCCACGATCAGGAAGAAAACGCAAGCTATCACATGCTGCCGAGAGGAGATTGGTCAGGATGGTCAAGAGTCAACCAAGAATCACCAAGAAGCAGGTCTGCAAGGATTTGGAAGCTGATGGAACACAGGTGTCAGTCTCCACAGTCAAGCGTGTTTTACATCGCCATGGACTGAGAGGCTGCCGTGCAAGAAAGAAGCCCTTGCTCCAGAAAAGGCACCTTAAGACTCGGCTGAAGTTTGCTGCTGATCACATGGACAAAGATAAAACCTTCTGGAGGAAAGTTCTCTGCTCAGACGAAACAAAAATTGAGCTGTTTGGCCACAACACCCAGCAATATGTTTGGAGGAGAAAAGGTGAGGCCTTTAATCCCAGGAACACCATGCCTACTGTCAAGCATGGTGGTGGTAGTATTATGCTCTGGGGATGTTTTGCTGCCAGTGGAACTGGTTCTTTGCAGAAAGTAAATGGGATAATGAAGGAGGATTACCTCCAAATTCTGCAGGAAAACTTAAAACCATCAGCCCGAAGGTTGGGTCTTGGGCGCAGTTGGCTGTTCCAACAAGACAATGACCCAAAACACACATCAAAAGTGGTAAAGGAATGGCTAAACCAGGCTAGAATTAAGGTTTTAGAATGGCCTTCCCAAAGTCCTGACTTAAACCCCATTGAGAACATGTGGACAGTGCTAAAGAAACAGGTTCATGCAAGAAAACCATCACATTTAGCTGAACTGCACCAATTCTGTCAAGAAGAGTGGTCAAACATTCGACCTGAAGCTTGCCAGGACCTTGTGGATGGCTACCAAAAGCGCCTAGTTGCCGTGAAAATGGCCAAGGGACATGTAACCAAATACTAATGTTGCTGTATGTATATTTTTGACCCAGCAGATTTGGTGACATTTTCAGCAGACCCATAATAAATTTATGAAAGAACCAAACTTTATGACTGTTTTTTGTGACAAACATGTATGTGTTCCGATCACTCTATCACTAAAAAATAAGAGTTGTAGAACTTATTGAAGACTCAAGACAGCCATAACATTATGATTTTTTACAAGTGTATGTACACTTTTGACCACAACTGTATATATATATATAGGGGTTTGAGTGTCCCAATGGTCATAGGAGCTATGTTGTCCGGGGCCTCAAGCCCCTGGTAGGGTCTCCCAAGGTCCTAGGTGAGGGATCAGACGAAGCGCAGCCCAAGCAACCCTTTATGAGGAATGAAACAAATGGGCCAAGTGTGCCCTCGCCCAGACACGGGTCACCGCGGGCACGTCCCACCGGGAGGAGGCCCAGAGGAAAACCCGGGACACGCTGGAGGGACTACGTGTCTCGGCTGGCCTGGGAACTTCTCGGGATCCGCCCGGAGGCGCTGGCAAAAGTGGGAGAGGGAAGTCTTGGTTTCCCTGCTTCGGCTGCTGCCCCCGCAACCCGACCCCGGATAAGCGGCAGAAAATAGATGGATGGATGGATATACAGTATATATATATATATATATATATATATAATTATTTGTTGTTAAAATGCTTGACATAGTAATGCTATCATTTAAATTCAAAAATAGAAACGTAAACTCCCCATACACAATTCTGGATTAGCACCTGCTGTTTTATAGTATTGATTTAATTTTTAATATACTGAAATATTTAGCATTTTCTTAACATAAACTAGCACAAGCATGTGCTTAATATTTTAATGTTTTTATGAATTGTGCTGCAGTTAAGCAGCTGTCTTTCATAATTTTATCTCACTTTTATTATATAGAGACAAATCACAGAAAAATGGATCTTTCAAGACTCAATTTGATATATGAATTTCAAGTAAACCATCGGGACCATCACATTTTGGGATTGTTGATTTGTAATGGGATCGCCTCACAGCAATAAGGTTCTGGGTTCAGTCCTTCGTGCCAACCAGGAACTTTCCGTGTGGAGTTTGCATGTCCTCCCGGTGTCTGCGTGGGTTCTCTCAGGGTTTTCTGGCTTCCATATTATGGTGCATATTAGGTTGATTGGACATTCCAAATTGCCCTTAGGAGTGATTGTGAGTGTCCATGGTTGTTTGCATTGTGTGTCTCTGTGTAGCCCTGCGATAGACTTGCGGACCATCCAGGGTGTACCCCAGCTCTCGCCCATTGACTACTGGGTTAGGCTCCAGTTCCCCCGCGACCCCATTAGGGAATAAGCGGTTATGAAAATGGATGGATGCATGGTTTATAATACATTTTATTTTTTTTGCGTCTTTATAAAAACCCAAATTAAAGCAAAATTACAAGAACACTTAATTACATCAGACATAAAAACACCCAAAAATAAAATGAATAGATTGCAGTGGATATTAAAAACATGTGATAACCATTGAACAAGACATTAATCATTAATTAAAAGCTGTTCTGAAAAGGTGAGTATTGAGATGTGATTTGAATGAGGATAGGTCTGTACAGTCACAGATGTGTTTGAGAGGTCCAAAGGGTGGAAGCAGCTGTAGGAAGGCTCCGTCACCCCATGTCTGGTGATTGGTGGAGACAGGAGGTTGGCATCAGACGAGCGGAGGCTGTGTGAAGGAGTGTGACAGTGCAGCAGATAGCATGGGACTTGGTTATGGAGAGCTCAATAGCAGGTTTGCTGTTCATGTCATCAATGTGGAATCTAAAATCACCCAATCAGAGGACTAAAGGTAGCACGTACCTGGACCTGTAGGTGGATGGCTTTAGCAGGGACGTGGGCCTGGTGGTGGTTGACTGTAGTGGGTAGCTGGGCCTGGTGGTGGATGGCTGTAGTAGGTTGCTGGGCCCAATGCTGAATGGTTTTAGTGGGTCTTAGCCCAGTAATCAAGGGAGTGTGTTCAGAAGTTAGATTTTTTTTAAAAGGTAACAGGCCAAAAAGCTAAAAGCTTGACAAAGAAACTGATTACTATCATTTAAACACAATAAAGTGAAAACTTTTTAGTCACATTTAGCCACCATTCTTATTGAAATTGTGGAAAGCTGCATAATGTATTAAGTAGACTTGATATGTCTTTTGATGACATCTCTCAAAAAGTATGGGCAAACTAGGCAGACCAACCTAATCTATCTCACCTATAACTTTATATTATTAATTATATTGATATAATTTATTATATTGTTTATACTGATTGAAGTTTATTTGAAAAAAACTAAAACACAGCAATTCTATATGTTGAACACTAGGTGGCATAGTCGACAAAACAACCAGATGTCCCACTTGCCATTCAAAATTTAAAAGTGTTATGTTGCTGTTTCTTTCACATATTGACACAATGGAAGATAAATCATGTTGAAGCTCTGTACTGGAACTTGATGAATTTTACAGCATGGTAGATCTAATTCTGTTTATCCATTTTCCTTTTTAGGTGATGCAAGATAAAATCATATGCCTTCCTCAGAGAATATCTTCACCTTCAGGGAACAGCAGCGAAATGGAAATTAAGTCAAGCTTACCTTTCCAGTCCAATACCTCAGCTGCACCAAGAGAAATGACTGGCCTGAAAACTGATCTTGATCTTCAACAATACAGTTTTATTAATCAAATGTGTTACGAGAAGGCTCTGCATTGGTATGCCAAGTACTTTCCATATTTGGTTCTCATACACACTCTAGTTTTTATGGTATGTAGCAACTTCTGGTTCAAATTCCCCGGTTCAAGTTCCAAAATAGAGCATTTCATCTCAATGCTCGGCAAGTGCTTTGATTCTCCCTGGACCACAAGAGCTTTGTCTGAGGTATCTGGGGAAAATCCAGAAGAGAAAGATCGTAAAAAGAGTAGCACCTCTAGGTCCAACATAGTTGTCTCTCCTGGAGAAGGCAGTCTAGAAAAAACCCAGTCCCTCCGGTCTATTCCAGAAAAGATAGTAGTTGACAAGCCATCAGCAAGTGTTCTTGATAAAAAAGAGGGCGAACAAGCAAAGGCACTTTTTGAAAAAGTGAAAAAATTCAGACTACATGTTGAAGAGGGTGATATTCTCTACCTTATGTATGTTCGCCAGACCGTCTTTAAGGTAATTAAGTTCATTGTGATAATTGCCTATAATAGCTCACTAGTAAACAAAGTGCAAAGCACAATACATTGCAAAGTTGAAATCCAGGACATGACAGGCTATAAAGACTTTGAATGTAATCACACCATGGCGCATTTGTTTTCAAAGCTGTCTTATTGTTACTTATGTTTGGTAGCTGTCTATGGATTAGCAAGCCTCTACACCTCATATTGGCTGTTTTATCGCTCACTGAAGGAATATTCTTTTGAATATGTGCGTCAGGAAACGGGAATCAGTGATATCCCAGACGTAAAAAATGACTTTGCTTTTATGTTGCACATGATCGATCAGTATGACCCTCTGTATTCCAAACGATTTGCAGTTTTTCTTTCTGAAGTTAGTGAGAATAAACTAAAGCAGCTCAATCTAAACCATGAATGGACTGCAGAGAAATTGCGTCAGAGACTCCAAACAAACACAAACAACAGACTTGAACTTCAGCTCTTCATGCTCCCTGGCTTACCTGACACTGTCTTTGAATTGACAGAGCTACAGTCCCTCAAGTTAGAGATCATCAATAATGTCACAATTCCTGCCTCAGTCTCTCAGCTGGGAGATCTCCAGGAGCTTTCCCTTTACCAATGTTCTTTAAAATTGCACACAACTGCTACCTCCTTCCTCAAAGACAACCTGAAAGTGCTTCGTGTCAAGTTTGATGACAACAGGGAACTTCCTAACTGGATGTACAGTCTACGCAACTTGGAAGAACTCTATCTCACTGGGTCACTGAGTCCTGATGCCTCCAGGAATATGGTTCTGGAATCTCTGCGTGAAATGAAATGTCTGAAGACACTCTCTCTTAAAAGCAATTTGACCAAAATACCTCAGCCGATTGTTGATGTGTCCAGTCATCTGCAACGGCTGTACTTGTATAATGACGGCACTAAGCTTGTAATGCTCAACAACCTGAAAAAGATGACCAACCTGATAGAGTTGGAATTAGTACATTGTGATCTGGAACGTATTCCACATGCAGTGTTTAGTCTGACAAGTCTGCAAGAGCTCGACCTAAAGGAGAATAACTTACGCTCCATTGAGGAAATTGTCAGCTTCCAGCATCTTCGAAAGCTCACTTGTCTCAAACTTTGGTACAACAGCATCATGTATATCCCAGAGCATATCAAAAAGCTCAGTAGCCTGGAACGCCTCAACTTTAGCCATAACAAAATTGAGATTTTGCCCTCGCACCTGTTCTTGTGCAACAAGTTGCGCTACCTGGATCTCTCAAACAATGATATCCGTTTTATCCCTCCAGAAATTGGAGTCCTTCAGAGTCTACAATACTTCTCTGTTACATGTAACAAAATAGAAAACCTTCCAGATGAACTGTTCTTTTGCAAAAAGTTAAAAACCTTAAAGCTGGGCAAAAACTCGCTGTCCATACTCTCACCAAAGATTTCCTACCTGGCTCTGCTGACCTATCTGGAGTTGAAAGGCAACCATTTTGAGCTCCTCCCACAGGAGATTGGGTGCTGTCGCGCTTTAAAGCGCAGTGGCCTTATTGTGGAAGAGACACTTTTTGAAACTCTGCCATCAGATGTCAGGGACCAAATGAAGGCCGAGTAAAATGCTTTGCTTCAGCCACAGTGCCTATGTTTTTTTCATTATGTCAATTGATATATTTTTTTTATATTAATGTACTTTAAAATCTAAATGATTTGTTTGATTACTATTTTCTTTATGTAAAAAAGTGGCATTTCATTTAATTGCATCTATGCTGGCAACAAAATACTGTCTTATTCAGCCACAAATATGTTGTAAAGGAAGAAGTTAAGCATTTTAGGAAAATATGCTCATGCACTCCTATGCTAAAAACTTCAGGAGAAGATCCACATTTATTGTATATGTGTATTGTATATCAAACATTTATCATTTAACACTGGATGGTCCCATGCCACATCTCTTACTGTATTGTAGTCATTATGCTGAACAAACTACGACCTTTGCTGTAGCTTCCTATTCATGGGTTTGATGCATGTGTTCACACCAACAAATGAGCATTTTCTCCAGTAGTTTATTCTTTCCAATCACATAACATGTTTTGTTCACCAAATAGAAATCAAGCCTAAAACCTTACATTTATTTTAAGTTTTTGTATTAAGTTTTAAGTTTTTTGTATTAAGTTTTATGTATTGTCCCAACAGTGAGAAACAATATATACAATACAACATACAATATAATTTCATCAAAATGATTTTCGCCAACTCTCTTCTCCTAAGCACTTTACCTCAACCTTGTAAGTAACCAGATTAAGGAGAAATGCTAAATAGATTCTGAAGGATTTAGGAAAATATCTACTTTTCTGAAGCTACAACTGTTTGAAAAAATATTTCCACAATGTACTTTATCTATGGCAATTTTATTATGTTATATGAAGAGTATATATCATATTGGTATGAGATAAGCCACAAAACGAATCGACCTGATCCCATGGTTAATGTACTAATTTTAGGATGTGACTGACACAATTAAATCTAATTCTTAAAAGAACTACAGAGCAGTGAAAATGAGTGATAGCAAGTCTATTTGGTACCCAAGGTGTCACTAGGAAAAGCACAAACATTCTTTTGAATCTTTGCATGAGTAATGATCAACAGGAAGATATCAAAGTAGTGTGATAAAACGGAATGAGCTTGCCGCATATCTGCATTGATTTTTTTTTTTCTGAGTGGTCACCACATGTATCTTTATGTGTGTCCTCATACATTATCTGACCAAGGCCATTTTCACAGCACTGCCTTATTTTACACCCTGTTCAAGGTGAACATGACTTCCAGAAATATCCGACATATGCTTAAAGAAGCATTAATATTTTTTCTAAACTCAAAAGGATAAGTATCTCTAGAGGTAATTCTTATCATTGTTTTGTAATGTTCAAACAAAATAACAATTAAACCACTGTACTTTCTCTATTTTACTTTTGACAATGTTATTGCCTTCTTTACAGTGCTCCCCAATTTAATTTGTTCATCATGCTTAAATGAAAAAAGGTTTTCTTGAAGGAGAATAATATCACATGGGGACAGATTTCTCAACATAAGATAATTGTGGTGTTTATGCTGCCTTTTTTGTTTAATAATAAAAAAAATCCAAGTCCTTCATGTTACATGCTTTTTCAGTATTTGAGTAAATATATTGATATATTTAGGTCATATATTTAGGTCATAGTACACTAAATCTGAGCAAGTTTTGACTTTATTTAGTACAGTTACATGAGGAACAGAGCTTGTGACAGCCAGCATATCTTTACCTGCGAGTAGCAGTCATAGATTTCACAAACATAAATTACCATACTATATTATTTTTGCAGCAGAGAACTATCGGCAAAAACTTAACATTTCCCATAATGGTGTGTTGTATTTCCTTAAAACATTTTTGGAAACTGGACAAATTGAGGACTAAAGAAAAAATATTGGGCCAAAAAACAGGTTACAACAGTGATCTCCTAAGATCAAACTGTCTGCCACCTGAACCTACCTACCTGTCCATCCACATACATACACACGTTTTTTCCTATAATAACATGATTTTACTTCTTTAAACTTGTCACATCTGCATTGGGTATGGGGAAACCTTGTGTGAGCAGCCCCATACTTACTAAATATTTGAACAGATTCCACTTTCTGTCACCTAAGTGATTACATGAAGTTAGTTCCTCCAATAATTCCTGATAATTGAAATGACCTGTTAACACCTAATTTCCAAATTTGGCAACACAGTATGGATACTTTCAACTAAGTTCTGATCCTAATATGGACACTTTGAGGTCACAGTCATCCATACAATATTTAACTGCTGTGTGGTCTCTGCCTCCTATTTGAGCCCAAATCCTTTCCTCTGATAATTTTCCACAGAACAGAGGGAAGTCTCACCAAGGAGTCAGATGCCCTTTTCATGATAAGCCAGCTGCTGGTTCTAGTTCTTAATGACTGTGCACAGCTTTTGGATCATACTCCCCTGTCAACATATTGATCACATCAGAGTACTGCCAGCATGGAAGAAGCAGCTTGATGCACAGGAAGTACATCCATTTGTAATGATACAGGGTAAAGGCATCCATCAGATCAACAGAAACCAGTATTTTTTATAAGAGGTTAAGAGAAGCTGAGTTGTGGGTCTGGACACTCACGAAGTCCACCGGGTTTATCAGAGGGTTTTACTGCTGTGGACACAACAAGGCAGTGATGAATACATGTTGTAACACTAATGCCACCAGTGCTTTGAAAACTCTGAAAAAGCCTCTAACCCTATTTTGAACAGAGAAAACAGCCAACAGACACAGTGGAAGACACTATTTTTTACCAGACTTCTCTTCTTTGGGACAAAGCTGTTGAATCATGAAAAGACTGAACTTCTTTGGTGAGCCCGTCTAATTCAACATTAAAGCTATAGAAAAGAGTTGAGTAACATCTTTATCCAACAGGAACTGTTAAAACCCTAAAGCTGACCCTTGTCTCACACTGCTGGAAGAGATGAGCTGTTCAGAGGACCTGCCACCATTGATATGGCTGTTGATTGTAAAGCGCATCTGTTGAGGAAAAACTTGAGCAGTCAGGATGGACGTGCATGGCTGGATTTTGGTTGGTTCAGTCTGCAGGTAGGGGGCTCCACCCATCCTCAATTTGTGGGAGGCCTGACTCAACACCTCTTCCACATGTGCTGACTTTTTAGTGAGTAAAGATTCTTTGTCTGCTCAGATGGGGTATGTGGTCATTTTGCCATTTGAAACAATTGGATATTGTGAGTGGTTCAAAACATTCCTCAATCTTTTGCCATGTGTCATTACCCAAATCTGTGGTTAGTTGTCATTGAAGATAACATTAGTATAGTGTGAGTGTCCCTGCCTGTCGCATGGGAGACTGGGGGTTCGATTCCCCAACAGGGAGATACACATGTATATATTCTTCTTTGTAAGGCGCTTTGTGTCTGCTAAATACATAAAAAACATATCCCACCAACTGGGAAAATTTAAGCCCTGCCACCACAGCAGTTGTACTCAAATAACAAGCCTTCCTGTCTGCATCCAGAGCTAGTGGCAGGAATTTGATCTTCCATCATCTGCACAGGATTTTCAGGTCAATGTCCTTCACACTGTCTGATATGCTAAGCAAAAAGGGTTTTCCTAACCCACTGTGATGATCTAAGAATGAGTGCCCCAAAGAATGGGTATGATAATAAGTAGATTTCTGCCACAGATTGAAAAAACAGAGATAACTTTACTTATTCAGCCTCAGCAATATGATCAAGGTCTGCAAAACATATGTTGTGGAAACTCTATTCTAAAGCAAAAGTCTGAGTCGATTTAATGAAGTAAGAAATAGAAATGTATCAAAAGGGAAAACTTCATGAAATGAGAGCAACCAGGACGGTCATACAATTGGTTCATATGACGTTCCAAGCTCCCTTAAAGTAAAACAAAATCATAGTGCATTTTATACCCCTCTCTGAGTCTGAAATGAGAGGTAAAGTCTGTCTTCCATCCTGCACCTGTATTAAACAATCCTCAAGAAAAACATTAAGAGACTAAATATAAGGAGACCTTCTCTGAGACCTTGAAGGAGGGAAGATCCACATGAGAAAGAAAAATAACCTTTAAAACATTAACTAGTGCAAAGATACCAGGGAAAAGTGAAGAAATTGATTATAAATATATTGATTTCCCCCACAATTCCCCACTTCTGATTATAATGATGCATATCATATTAATCACTATTAAATAAATCAATATATAGTATATCATGAAATTACGTCAAATCTACAAAAAAGCTTAAACATGCAACAAATTTTTTTTGAGCAATAGCATCAACCTTCATTCTATCACAAAGTGTGTGTAAAACAAAGGCAAGTATTGATGTTGATCCAAAATCAACATCAACACTTCAAAGTAAGCTCAAAATCTATCATCAGAGCCAGAGCTGATTCGCAGAGCCGTCCGATGAATGTCCTGCAAGAGTTGTATCACCTGATAAAAAAACGACTGATGTAAGCGCAAACAACCAAACGTCTGGCACAAGGAATAAAGCAACAAACACAGAGAACAAATGTAATGCAACTGTACTGTATTACTGTAAACCACAGAAATGTTTATCTGAGCAGAAAAAGTTTAAGTTTTAGACTAAAAGTTTCTGCTCCAGGAGAATGGTAAGAACAGAACGAGGTCAAAAGCATCAATTTAGTGTAGTCCACAGTGTCATGTGTTCTAATTTTAAGTGTGTTCTGCATCATCACCCATTGCAGAGAAGCTCATCATTGCTTCATCCCTGGACCACAGACTCCCCCTCAGTCCATCTGTCTACCCTTACCACGTTGTTGTAGGTTACATTGCTTGCGTCTCCAGGAAAAGTTGTTTGTCCAGTGCCATGTGTGCCACAGGTACACTGCTGTGTAGCCATTGGAAGCCAGCTGCCTCTGTCCTCTCCTTCAGCCCTTGAGATCACGCCCTCTTCTCACAGCCACTTTGTTGTCATGGCAGCAGATCTGGTAGGGCAGAGCTGGATCCTGGAGTTCTTGGAAAGATCTGTTGGGCCGAGTCTTTGCAGAAAATGCATTGTTCATCAGTGAACTTTGAACCTCAGCTAGTGAGGTTTTGCAGATAGAGGAGGCCTCAATAATGTCCACCATGGTCCATGGTCAGAACACTGATATGAGTCCATTTGGACTGGGCCGGCCACCTCAGTCATGGTTACATTAATTTCTTTACCCACCAATAAGTTTTCCACAGTGATAGCAATTGTTTTTTTCCACCTGTTGGGGTCAGTTTGATTTTCAGTCTCGTTCTTTATGTGGAGCTGTGTTGGTTATGAGTCTTCCTACCATTAGCTCTGGCTTTCTCTGGGCTTTTTCCCCATGCTGTGGGTTGTTGAGCTCATTGCTGGCGGGAGGGGTAGGAGCCAAGGTCCAGATCAGGCATGAAGATGGCACTCAGCATGGGGTAGAGCAGTGAGATGCATTTGGAGCAGAGGGAGCAAATGGAGCCTTTGGAAGATGTTTAGTCAGTCAGGAAAAATTACCAGTTTGTTTATCTATCAGTCTTTCTGGAATTTGATAAGAGACTTTTCCTTTATACACTTCTAATTTCCCTGAGCGGAAATTTTTAACTTCTTCTGCTTCAACCTTTTCTTCATTCTTTCAGCGTTTTTACTTTTGATATACTGAAAGATCCTTCTGGTAAAACTCCAGTTCGTCGGGAAGTTACTCCTCATCTGATCAAGTTACTATCGCAGATAACCAGAGAAACCCGCTTCATAGAACAGGCACAAGGACAAAACAGTTTGATTCTGTTTTGAGCCAAAATATAGTTGGCTTGAAATCCTGTTTTGTGCTTAAATTGATTTACAATTCATGTTGGAAAGGGTATCTTTTGGCTGACAAATTATATAACTTAAATTCTGTCCGAGAAAGCATGGAAGGTCATAGATTTACAAAACAAAAAGGTTTTACTATGTTTTGTACCAATATATTAAAATTGGAAAAAAAAAGTCCTATGCATAACTTGAAGAAAAATGCAAATATTTGTAAAAAAGTTAATTTTAGAACGTCTCAGATTAAAGTCATGAAATGTGATGAAGAAGCCTTACAAA